TGTTCTGTGTCCCGATGCTCTTTGTATCTACCGGTACTTTTCAGAATACCACTTTGATTCTGGCTGCCATGTCACTGGAGCGTTATGTTTCCATTTTCTACCCTCTGCAGCGCCCGGCCTCCTGGCGCTCAGACCGTATCTGGATCATTATTCTGCCTCTGTGGATCATCAGCTTCACATTCCCCATTATTGAGTTTTCCATCGGGAAGCACAGTCCCAATGTAGATGTCCTCTTTACAAACATGCTTTGCAAAAACACTGTTATTAACTCATCGCCAATCCAGGGACTGTATCGGCTTGCTGTCTATGTACTTTTCTTTGCAGTGGTGGGTGTTATCATCCTCTTCACCTATATAAGGATCGTGATGGAAACCAGGAAGATGCGGCAGGACAGAGCTTCAGTGAACAAAGCCATGCACACCGTGCTGCTGCACGGCTTCCAGCTGCTGCTGTGCTTGCTGGCTTTTACTCTGCCTATCTCTGAAACTCTTATTGGGCTCCACACAAACTGGCTAGATGAGGATGTCACCTTTTTTAATTATTTCTGTTTCATTCTGATGCCTCGCTTTCTCAGCCCACTAATTTACGGCTTCAGGGATCAGAATTTGAGAAAGCACATTGGGAACAGATTCCTCTGCTGCTCAAAGAAAGACAAACCCTTTTTCAAATAGTGACTTGGATTTAATCTTGATAATGTGTTATATTCCTATACAATATTGGTTGGTGCAGGTCCTAAAGCTGGACAGATGCAACTCAAAGATGTTTTTTCAGAGTCACTGGTACCCATAAGACCCAAGGACCGCATTCTCTACTCTGCACTTAGACTGGGCTGGGAAACATCTTAAAAGGTTGACAGTGTTGATGTTTTATAGTAATATCATTCAGTAATAATAATAAAAAACACTGGCAAAGATCATTTAACAAGATTCAGACCACAAACACTTCTGAACAGCTTTTAACCAGGTTTTTGACATTTTTACACCACTAGGTACAGCTAACATTTAATTCGATATTTCCCCAAAGTCATAAAATATACATGGATTTTTCAACTCTGAAATTGATGTATGATCATATAAGAAGCAAAGGAAAATAAGAAATGCATCTGTGCAGAAATATAGATCTGAAATAAAAATGTAATTTGCAAAGATATTTCAATTTTTCTGCTTTTGCAAATTGTCAACATGTTCTGTTCCTTCACAATTTAATATTGTCATATTGCCACCTTCTTAAAGCAATGACCTAAGTCATTTTTTGACAAGTGATTTTTTTTGTAGTCGATGCATACATTGTCTTTTAGTAATGAAGATGCAGTGATTTTTTTTTTCATTTTTTTATTTATTTTTTTTATTTTTTAGCCAAAATCATTTTAGCAAAAATGACAGGTCATTACTTTAGGGAGGTGATGATTTCTTTCATTTATAAATGACAAGAACTAAAATATAAATTCTGCAGATAGAGACCTTATGAGGAAATTATTTCAAATTTGAAATTTGTTCAAAATATCACTGTTTTTTATTTTATTTCACCAAACATTAAAAAGTCTGATTTCCAGTTTGCCCTCAAATGCAGCAGTAGTCCTCTTTTGCTCTTGACATTAAGAAAGCCTGCTAAATGACTATTTAAATGTTTTCATTGTGTGGAAAACATCCTGTAAATTTATTGTGTTATGTTTTTGAAGTAAAATCCTCTTGCGATGTTGCTGTCCCGTCACTGTATTTCAATAGATATACTATAAAAATATTCTTCAGTAGTTGTTTAATGCTTCCTACTCCTTTTCAAACAGAAAAGTAGTGGTAAACAAATAACTTTGCTCTTGGTTATGTATGCACATGTTTTTCTCTGCTTGTACGTATTGTTTGTTCAACTGTTTTTAAAAACCTGTTTGAAATAGTTTAAATTTGTGCTTGAAGACTGAGTTGAAAGATAGAGGGGGAACACATGAGGTAAAAGTCAACAGGCTGGGACTTGAGCCCATGACAACATAGAGTACTGAGGCCTCTGTACACGGGTTGTGTGCTTTACCCCTGTGCCACCTTATTTACGGACACACCAGAGGAGGGATCAGTTTGTCCACGATTCCTGGACAAACTTCTTGTTCAGGAATTGGAAACTTCTTCCACTGTCGCCACCATTGCCCAAAAATGTTCCTACGCCATCTTCGAGTAGCTTTACTCCTCACTGTAAAAAGAGTTAAAACATCAAGCAGTGATGCTGTCGGGCCTCTTCTCACACATTTTTGTAGGGGTTGTTGGAACAGTACCCTATACTCATGGACCTTCAGCAAAAACAAAAAAGAATCAAACCCTCAACTTTCTCTGAGTTGTTTTTGTGCTCTGAAAAAGGCCAAACATTATCAGCAGACAATTCACATGAAGTACAAATGGGGGTGACATACATTATGTTTTCGATGAGGGAATAACATTTTACCATGATGTACATGTTTTTTTTTTTTCACAGTACTGTTTATTTAACAAATGAGGGCTGTTTATAAAGTGAAAGAGGGGCCTAAGTACTATTAGGCAGATGGTCATAATGCGTGATTGGTGTATCGCCACAGCTAGAATGGCTCACTTATTCTCAAAGTACATTTTAGAAGATAAATCTATCTATGGTAAATGGACTGAACTTATTAGCGTTTTTCCAGTCATTTTTGACCACTCAAAGCGCTTTATACTAGAATCACATTCACCCGTTCACACTCACAAAACTCTCACACATTTATACACCGATACGCAGATCGGTAGGCAATGTGGGGTTAAGTGCCTTGCCCAAGCTGGAATCGAACCCCTATCTATCCATCTATCTAATATTTATTTATTATGTGAATCAGTTTCCATCTCTAACATTTAAAGAAAATCCTATATTTTATAGTCCTGGTCTTAAAATAAGCCAGGTATTAATCTAAAACCCATTGAGGTTTGTGCTTGAAATTTAAAAAAATATATATATTATGGATATCTACATTTGCATCACAAAGTATTTGGATAAATTTCCTTTCAGAATGTAAAGTATAGGGTTGTCTTACCAGGATATTTGCAGAGAAGATAACTTCTTGCTAGTTTTATCAGCTGGATGGAAAGTTTCACTTTTATGTTTTGTGAAACTTTGTTGTTAGCTGTTCTCTCCTCTGAAATCTGTTGCTAATTAGAATCACAACACTTGGCAATGGTGGTGTGTCTCTAGAGGAATCGGGTCCAAGCCTACATAGTGGAAAATGACTTAAATATCTGAGTTAAAGAAGTGATACCTCCTGAAACACATCTCTACAAAGACGTCATGTGAAGCAGAACAGTCTGAGCTCCTCTGGCTGATAAAGGGATTGATAGGTGAGTGAAGTACGGTCAATGGGGAAAATGTTGAGCATAAGTATTCTTTAATTCTTTTTGTGTAAACTGAAATTTACTGTGTTTTTCTGAAACAGGAATTATCTGTTCAGAGCAGCAAAATGCAGAATCGGACTGAACTTTCTGTCAATGAAACGTCCCCAAAAAGCTTCTCTGTGATCATCAAGGTGTGTGTGGTAATCCC